ACTGTGCACCACGGGGCACTCCCTCACACCCCACAAACACCACATACCCACACCCTACCCCCGCAGCCCCCCTTCCCATACACCCCCCCAACATATCCTGTTGCCCCCAACACACAACCACCCCCCCTCACAACCCCCCAGACACACCCAACCATATCCCACACACAATATACAAGAGTAAGACTTTATTTTTTAGTTATTATACAACCATTTCTATATACACTATGCAAACAGAAATCATGAGAAAAATATTTTTTGTAGTAAAATTAAAATATGTTATAGTAGGCATTTGACTTTCAGTGTATGATTTGGGGGCTTTTTCTAGTTCCAAGATGGTTCTCCCCTCCCAAAAGGAGTACTTCTGTGGGGTAAAGGGAGGGACTTCTGATTGCAAAGGGCAGGGGTTAGGGGCAGGACTTCTGGTCCCACAACCGCGTCCAGGGGCAGAGCACTTGTCAAGGTGCAGGACTACTCTTGTGGCCTTTGGCAGTTCACCAAAACTCATTAAGCGGCTCTCCAGCTGCAATAATTGCCCGCCCCTGCCTTAGGACAAGAAATCATCACACCCTTTTCTAGACACACCAGCATTTCATGTTAGCAGCCTCACATGAGCCAGTATTTCTTCTTTCAATGCTCAAAAATGGGCTTTCTGGGCAGGAGGCAGGTGAATAATAATGCAGATGCTGGATCAAACTTTGGAACATGGGTTCATAGAGAGTGAGGCAAGGATTAATTAGATCTTAAATGCCATGCACCAAAAAGGCAGCACTGTAGTCCCCTCTCCATGAGATTCCCCAGGAGGAGCTGCTGCCAGGCCTGGGTCACAGAGATTGGGCAGCTCCCTCCCTCCCTCCCTCCTGCACATGTTGGGGCTTTTGGATCTCATTGATCTCTGCACTGTGCTGCACAACAGAGTTCCCTACGTGTATCATTGGGTCCAAACTGATCTCCGCACACAAAGAGACTCTGCTGCATGGTAGAGGTGTCAAGCTGCATGGTAGAGGTGTCAAGCAATGATCACATCTACAGCCAGGAGCGACCTGTCAGGGGTGGTGGAGCAAGACCAAGATGCTACAATCACATTTCAGTGCCTCATTGGAAGGTCCCATCTGACTCATCAGGGGATTTCTGCCAGGGTGTGAATTCTACCCATTGCAGCAGGA